TAGGTCCCCTTTCATCTCCTTAGCTTTGCAATCTTTCAAGGATTGCAAACGAATAGGCTGTGTCATAGCTCAGGATGTAGTATCAGTCCTGCAGGATTGTGGAATACTCAGTAGGAAGATATCTAGCAAACTTTTGAAACTCCCTTCTGGTTGCGCATTGACGATCGAGTCCGGCAGTCAGTTCTGGTCATTAATTACTTGGGTAGAGAGAGCAACATCTGAGCGGACTTTGAACCTCCTCGTTTTAAACAGCTTCCAGCTGTGACCTCGAAGCGAGCTGCCAAGTCTTAGCTGAAAAAACTGCCTTATCTCATTTCACAGTTCTCCTCGTAGGATGCGTCTGGTAGAGATGAGGTCTCCGCGACGTCGGCGATAGTCTAAGGGAAGAAGGTTCATCCTCAACTGGGGTACGGGAGTTTGCGTAGCCCAAGGACAAATTTCGAGGCTCGTCGCTGAATTTTTGCTATCTTGTCTCTTTCATGTTTAGATAAAGGGGCTATGGCCGAAAGTCCGAATTCAAGAATGGGACAGATATGGAAGGTGAAGAGAAGTCTAAATATCTGCGGCGTCATTTTAGAGAATGATCTCTTTATGACGCCCCACATCCTGTTCGCCGCAGCAGTTTTTTTAACGTGTCAAGGGTCGTTTTGAGATCAGAGGAGATTATTGTCCCCAGGTCCTTTTCCTGTGTGGCAATCTTGAGTAGATGCCCGCCAATGTGATAGATGCCCAGTGGTTCAGCAGCACCTATAGAAAGGACTGAGCACTTATCTTTGTTGACCGGCAAACCCCATTTGCTAGACCAAGAGTGTAGTAGATCAAGCGTTTCCTGTAATCGGTCGGCGTCTTCGAGGCTGGACACTTCCGACCATAGCTTGAGGTCGTCTGCATAGATCAGACAGTCCGTTTGTAGCATACTTGGTAGATCATTGATATATATCATGAACAATTCCGGTCCGAGAACGGAGCCTTGTGGTACTCCACTGTACATAGGCACTGGGAATGAAAGGGCATCGTTTATTTTGACTTGCATGTTCCGGCCTTGCAAGAAGCTCATTGATCCATAGTAGGAGGTTCCCTGTTATGCCAATTCCGCGGAGCTTAGAGAGTAGTTCCTGATGCGGGACTCTGTCAAAAGCTTTGGTGAAGTCGATGAAGACCACATCTAAACGTTCTCCAGCGTCCACTGATTTAGCCCACTTCTCTCTAGCGACCAGCAGGTTAGTGATGCAGGAATGTCCCTTTCGCAAGCCATGCCGGGTGGCTGATGTGAAGTTCAGATCTTCGAAGTGTCGGTGGATGGCACATTTAATGAGCTTTTCCATGATTTTGCAGGCGACCGACGTCAAGCAAATTGGCCGATAGTTCCGCAGGGTCCTGGCGGTTTCCACCTTTGTATTTCGGCATAACTACACCCGTCTTCTAATCGAGAGGTAGTCGACCAGCTATTCCTATATCTCATACTCAAATACCCATATTATCCCTTCCCATCCATCTTTCTCCACTCAACTCTATCTCAATATTTTCTTTACCCCTACAGTTCCTTTGTATTTCCTCTTTCTTACCATAACATTATCTATCATCAACTCTATCCACCTTCTCCTCTACATACCTCACATAACCCTCTTAACATTTTATCACTCAACAAACTTCTTTAATCGCTCTACTCTTACACCGTAACTTATCACCATCTTCTCCAATATCTCCCCCTCTTATCTCAAATGTTTCTACCACCACCACTATACACCACAAAGTCACCAATTACTCCCCTATCTTCCAACCACCCCTCTAAATTCCTTCACACATCTTACCATATACCCCCCCACTACACAAATTCACTCTCTCTCAATAAACTTCCCCTTCCATATCTCACACTAATTAACAAAAACTAAAATCTACTACTCACAAAATCATAATAACAAATCTCTACTAATCTAAAATCACTTTCCCACAATCACCCATACCCCCACTACAATATAACTAAACCCCAAATAATAAAACACCCCCCCCCCCCCCACATAAACCCCCACCCCCCACCCCCCCCCCCCCACCCCCCCCCCCCCCCCCCCCCCCCCCCCCCCCCCCCCCCCCCCCCCCCCCCCCACCCCCCCCCCCCCCCCCCCCCCCCCCCACCCCCCCACCCCCCCCCCCCCCCCCCCCCCCCCCCCCCCCCCCCCCCCCCCCCCCCCCCCCCCCCCCCCCCCCCCCCCCCCCCCCCCCCCCCCCCCCCCCCCCCCCCCCCCCCCCCCCCCCCCCCCACCCCCCCCCCCCCCCCCCCCCCCCCCCCCCCCCCCCCCCCCCCCCCCCCCCCCCCCCCCCCCCCCCCCCCCCCCCCCCCCCCCCCCCCCCCCCCCCCCCCCCCCCCCCCCCCCCCCCCCCCCACCCCCCCCCCCCCCCCCCCCCCCCCCCCCCCCCCCCCCCCCCCCCCCCCCCCCCCCCCCCCCCCCCCCCCCCCCCCCCCCCCCCCCCCCCCCCCCCCCCCCCCCCCCCCCCCCCCCCCCCCCCCCCCCCCCCCCCCCCCCCCCCCCCCCCCCCCCCCCCCCCCCCTCCCCCCCCCCCCCCCCCCCCCCCCCCCCCCCCCCCCCCCCCCCCCCCCCCCCCCCCCCCCCCCCCCCCCCCCCCCCCCCCCCCCCCCCCCCCCCCCCCCCCCCCCCCCCCCCCCCCCCCCCCCCCCCCCCCCCCCCCCCCCCCCTCCAATGGCACATTCCAGTCCAATGTTACTCTGCTGCCACCCTTAGCCTAGTGCATGCGTACGGTTCGCCAGAATGTTGCGCCTCGGTAGCCATGCGCTCACGGGCTTCAGGATAGCATAGACCGTGTTAGTCCATTGGATGGAGTTTGCCTACAAATGGCGCCGTTTGCCTAATGGGTGGATAGTATGGGTCAATTCTGAGGACTATCTGCCAAGGACGGACTGTGAGGCACTAGATATCAAGAATGTGCGGAGGTCTGGCCGGGAAGAAGCCTGAGTGGGCCGATGTTATGTATGGCTGGGTGTGATTTTCGTGTGTTGCGAGGAACTGTTTCCAAGGAGGGACTGGGGTCAAATGACTCGGGCGGTGATAGGTGGCATGTGTAGTAGAGCACACAATTGACCATGGCGGGTGCATCTGAAGAGTCGACCCGACAATATGACTCGCAGTCTTGCCGGTTTCCATGCGAGTTGATAAGAGCGTAGTACAGAAGTACCATGTCCCACGGGGCTTTGTAGATGCCGCCAACCATAAGGGATTTGAAGCCATCGTTGATCTACACCAGAGTAGCTCTGCGCCACCAACAGCGTCGCTGACGGCTTCTACGAGATGAACTTTAAGATCCTCTCTCCAGTAGAGAACTGAACGCCACCACCAACTCTTGCCTCCAGATCGGTCCATGTACGGACAAAGTTTGGTATCCTGAGATGTGGATCCTCCGGAGTCGGAGGAGGAGATGTCCTGACAGTGAGGCCAGGGGAGGTCTCACGTGGAAGGCCAAGACAGGTCAGGAAGTAGCTGCTTGCGGGCTAACACAAGAGCGTGTTTGTCTTATGTACGCTCGTTCAAAATTTGTTTCTGAGACTACGGGACATTGCGCAACCAACACGTCGTGCCGGGGGTGGGGGCGGGGTCCATTCTTTTCTCCTTGTTTTTAAGTCCCGGGGAGGACGGAAACGACAGTGGGTTCTCCTGCGGGAGCACCTTATACGTTTATTCTGTCCGGGGCGCCCGGTGAGGAGAATGGGCCTCCACACGGGTGTTCGGAAAGTCGCTTGCGAAACTACTCGAAGATAAATCCACAACTATGGAGGTCTTGTTTCACGCACTTCCCCGCCTATGTGCGTGTAGTTCGCTTCTACGGCCGCTTTTTCATTTGGGCTCGATCTTCGGTGAGAGGTCACGAGAGTACATTAGAATGGCTCGCTCGCCTTTTGAGACGCGACGGTTCCTCGCAGGGGATGCCTGGCGAGCCTTCCCTCCTCGATCCGGGCAGGCAAGAACGATTTTTATGGGGGGCGATTTCTCGAGATATACTACACCCGTTTTTGTGACAAGTCGGAAGCAGAGTACAGATATTGATTCCATGGTACACCTTTGTCAAATAGCTATGAGACCAAACGTCAAGCAGTGTTTGGTTCATCTCGTATTCGAAGGTTAAAACAACCATAAAATCCAATGTTATAAGATACTGAAAGAGCATGTTTTCAGTTGCACTACAAGTCCCAGTCGATACCCGGGGCATTAAAGTCACCCAGTAATAAACAGTTTTGACCACATTGGAAACACGTTGCGAAAGAAAGTCCTCCATTAAAACCATTACTTTTTCAGAACGCAGGAACAGGTTGTCCTCATGAACAACAGCCCGCATTCAAAATCGCGCCAGTGGCGGATGTGACGGTCCCATCGGGAGCAGCTCAATGGTCTCAAGCTTGGAGATCGCAAGCCGTCGGCATTGCTCCACGAACTTCGACGCATCGCTGGTCCCTTATTCTTGAGCAAAGAAGGGATAAAGGAGCTGTGGTTTTCACGTCTCCCCTGAAAGACTTAGCTACCAATGCAGACGCTGCGTTCGAACGGTTTCCGCAGCAGACGACCAGTAGCTCCGGTGACGTATTCTCACCGATGAAAACCGAATATCATGTTTGTTCCCAGTCGTTAGGCCGATCTAACTCTGAAGACGAGGAAGTTGCGCTACTTCGCAGCAGAATAGCAGCAATGAACGCTTCGAAGCAGCGGGTGCCACGGTCAAATGCTGACCACGTTTTGGCTACCGTTCATTACGGTTCGTCTGTGCTTGCACCGAGTACGCCACATTCGGCACGAAAGCGCAACATTCTCACTACAAGTTCTCAGTCAGATAATGTCAAACCCGTCGAAGAAGTATGTTGGTATCACCGCCAATACGGTGGAAGAGCTAGACGTTGTCGGGCTCCCTGCATTAAGCACGACCCAGCTGCTTCAGGGAAAACGAATAGCCCACATACTAGCACGACAAACGTATCATTCAATAACCAAGCAAACCGACTGTTTTACGTTAAGGATCGACGTTCTTCCATCACATTCCTCATCGACACGGGAGCGGAAGTCAGTGTCATCCCAGCGACCGCTAACGACAAGCACTCAGAGCCTATGTACAATTTGCGTGCGGCCAACGGTTCTCCGATAGCTTCATTCGGTCAGCGCATGATGAACCTAGATCCAATCTTCGCCGAGATTTTCAGTGGGCCTTCATAGTTGCGTCTGTACCCTTCGCAATTATCGGTATCGACTTTCTCCGACATTATGGGTTGCTTGTTGTTGCTGGTCGCCACAGACTTTTAGACGATCGTACGAAACTAGAGGTTGATGGTGTTCTTTCAGATGCCCCGATAATCAGCCCTGTATTTCGAATCGCCGATGTACCATCAGGTTATGCGAACCTACTGTCTGAGTACCCGCGACTGGTACGACCAGCTGCAGAGCTTCCACCAGTTACGACAGAGGTCGCTCATCACATAGTCACGCGTGGTCAGCCAGTTAGCGCACGACCAAGACGGCTTGTTCCTGACAAACTACGCGCATACAACCAAATTCCGGTAGCCGAAGCGGACATCGCTAAAACTGCCGGGACGACTCCATTTGGTTTTTCCCAGTTTCTGCGCATGCTATTTAGTCTAAAGAACGCCGCGCAAACTTTTCAGCGCTTCATCGACCAAGTTTGTCGCGGTTTAGACTTCGCTTACGCGTATCTCGATGGCATTTTGTTTGCAAGCTCTTCGCGAGAAGAGCACATACGCCACATACGAACACTTTATGATCGTTTATCTCAACACGGGGTGACGATCAACGCAGAAAAGTGTTCGTTTGGTGTCGTTTCAGTCAACTTCCTCAGCCATCGTATCTCTTATGCAGGCGTCGTGCCATCTGGAATACTGCATCCAGGCTTTCCCACTCTGCCTTGTTCGGGTCAAAATGGAACTGGGGAGGGTTTTGAGAGTAGGTGTTAAATTGGTCGAGGTTTTAGGGGGGCAATCGTACCCCGAGCGTCTACTTAGCTTGGGTATGTATTCAATGCACTACCGACGGCTTCGAGGAGACCTAATTCTTACTTACCGCATTTTAAAAGGGATGGTTAGACCGGACTTGAGCTGGCTCTTTAGCCTGGCTAGGTTGACTCGTCTTCGCCGTCATCGCATTTTGACGGGATCAGGGCGGAAACTCGGTTATCGCGTAGAGTTATCTAGCGCTGGAACTCACTTCCAGAAAGTGTAGTCAGTGAACCTACGGTTAAGGATTTCGAGCGTCAGTTAGAAGCTCTTGGGTGGCAACACGAAACCTTTCCCTTCTCCTGACCATATCCGTCTTCAAACTTTTAGTTCTTATTCTGTCATTCTCTTCACTCTTTGGTGTTATCCTTCGTTTTAATGACTTCCCCTTTACCTTCCATTTACTTTCTACTTCTTTCTTACTTCACGTAACCTACACAGCGGGGACTGCTAGTGCAAGGAATGTGGTCAGTAATTGGTTGATCAGGGTGCTTCGGGTGTTTCGTTTTAGATCTCTCAAGACCTAGCACGTTATCATTTCCTGGCTCAACGATTTGCTCAATAAAGAACACTCAAGGGATTTTTCTCTCGTTCCAATCCATCTGAATCTGAATGTACAGGTGGTAGCCATCTTCCGATTTCTTAAGATAACTTCGCAACCATCGATGTTTTCCTACGTCACCGCTCATCTACCGTCTCAGATTGTGATTGACATTCTTGATCCGAAGCCGACTGAATCGGCGTTGACAAAACTTAATCAGCCATCCGAAAGCGCACTACGGCTTCCGATGAAGCACGGCTACACGTTCTACCTTCAAGCATGGAGCTTGGAGACCGCAATCCCTCTCAGCTCCTCCGGCACATGCAGTCACTTGTAGGTTCCTCGACCTTGGGCAATTCCATACTCAGACATCATCATCATCATCAACAGCCGTACATCAGCCATTTGAACTGATGCTTCGCTGCCATACAATTATGAGGACCTATGAAATAAAGAATAAGAAGAGGGAGAGAAAGGGGGACTTACCTGAGAACCTTAATGCCCTAAGCAAACATTCAGGGTCAAGGCGCCTACACCTTATGTAGACAACATACCGTCACAAACAGCTGGCTATCGTACAAAGGTAAGGCGGCATCGGCGAGACAGCTTTCTTGCGGCTTTCACTGCCCCGCGTCATAATCAGCCAATACCCCGAAGATAACTCAGCACCAAACATACTTTAAACAGACAATCCGATTAGGAGACGGCAGCAGACGCGCCACTGGTGTCGGTTGCGAGCCATGTCCTTCAAAGTCTCGAGCCAAGCACAAGGTGAGTCACGTGGACTCCAACCCGGAAGGCGAGACTGACCAACGGCACCCGGGATCTACTAATGCTAAAATGTCGGGTGTCGTTATCCTTGCTGGGGATTTTAATGCACGGGTTGGCCGCCTGTTACCTTACGAACGCCACTTTGGTGGTCATCACTCGCTCGATGAGAACCCCTCTGATAACGGAGAGAGGCTTCTCACATTGTGCGAAGACAATCGTCTGTTTCTTTCAAGCACTAGCTTCAGGCGTACGAAGAAGCGTTCCGCAACGTGGCGTCCCTCTTCTTCAACACAACCGTGGTCTCAAATTGATCACATTGCAATTAGCTTTAGATGGCGCGGTAGCGTACTGGACTGCAGGACCTTTTGGTCCACCTTCATTGACTCAGATCA